TGATGAGATTCAGGAAAGTACATGTTGAATGAAAATCCAAGAAGCAAGAATGAATTTAGCGCATGATAAACATGAAAAAATAGACAATTATGACCCAAAGAATGATTCGTGAGTTTGAAGAATTTCAGAACGCGTCATATGACCAAAAATGACGGTCTTATAACGGTCATTTGATGCCGAAATTTTTTCTTAACTAAAAAATTAGTAAACAAATTAATGTTAAACAATCTATATAGATGCATAATGACGGTCATAACAATTTTCTAGTTTGTGACGGTCATAAATTTAAAAAAATCATTTGATCTAAGTATAGGGGAGGTTGGGGTAAAACGGACACTTTTGACTTTTTTAAATGTTAATGAGGGGTTGAAATGTTGAGGAATTTTAATAATTTTTTTTCAATAAAAAGAACAACTCTTTCCCTTTGTAACGAGCCTGAACTGAGCTTAATTGATGAATTTGTTTCTGAGTTATGAACAATTACAAAAAAGTCTAAAGTGGCCATTTTACCCCACCCTTCCCTATGACAAATGCACGCGATTTCCATTTCAAAATCCACATTAGGCCAATTCAAGATGAATTCAAATAAAAATTGTTAAAGAATAATAGAAGTTTCATCTATGTAGATGATAAATAGCTATCATTTTTTCTTGGGACATATAGTGACGGTCATAAAAAAAGAGGGGGGGGGGGNGGGGGGGGGGTCGGGGGTTATTGTGACAGCCGTCATAAGCGCCTGGTCATGTGCTCGTCATTGACGATTTTTAATCGCGATGTACGCGGAGGAGAGGTAGTACCCCTGCACATGCAATGATAATTTTCAAATAAATTTTAATAAATAGAGGAGGTTTAAAAGATAAATAGAAGTGTGGAGTTCGATTTTGCAAACTTTCCGGGATAAAAACCGAGTGGTCTGACGCGATTTTGAGTTTCACAATGATTTCCAATAATTTCCATTCATTTCCAATGATTTCCGATGATGCAAATATTTATATACATTTACTTGTGCCAAGTGAATTACTTAACAGAAGTGATTTTTTTTTCAGTGCGGAAATGATTTCGATAAATTTGTTCGTCCAAAAACAGCGGTACATTTTTCAAAAATCAAAATTTTGTCTTCTTTTTCAAAAAACTTCAGTGCAAATATTGATTCATCAAAACTTATAGGCGTATTAAATTCAATACAAATTAACTCAAAACACCTTCTGCTAACAAATGAATTGTGTATTAATTTTTCAATGAGAAGTATTTTAAAGTTTTTTTAAATTGATCATCACTTTAGAAACATTTTTGTACTTTTGCATAAATGCCTTTCTCGGACTACCTTGAAGAAAAACGTGAATTGCGGCGAGGGACCCTTTTTTTCCTTGAGTCGAAAAAAGACGTGAATCCACAGTTCACACGGCAGAATTTATCTTTAGTTTTTATTGATTCCCAAAGGTTGGAAATTGCGCGATTTCCACGTGATTTCCAAACGATTGTACCGGCACGTGGCACCGAGATTTCCAAAGTTACTCCTGGGTAAAACAATAATTTCGGGGATACAATGTACGGGAATAAATCAAGTAGTAAAACAGACGATAAGTTCAGAATTTTTTGTTTGAAAAGACTTTGCTGTCTCACGCAGATGCCAGATCTGAAGAATCAAATATAAATAACGGAATTTCAGACGTAAAAAACCATCTGCAAATAAATGTCTTAAATTTTTCATAAGTTCTCATTGTCAATAAATTATGAGTTCTTTTCTCTATTCAAAGACTTTAAATTCATATGCTTACTTTGCCATAAAATAGTGATAGTAATACATACATAAGTTGCATAATTTAAACAAAATTTTCAAATCAATTTTTCTGCTAAAAACTTTTGTGTCGGAAGGGGGACTATACGTTCCCTTTCAATCATCAGTTATAGTGAATAAATGTCATGAAGGGGTTTCAGTTATTTTTGAAAAACAAAGAAATAATAACAAAAAAATAGGAATAATAAGTAAGAGTGCTAGAAGGCAAAATTTTCTGAGTAACAATAATAATTATTATCATTAACTGCAGAATTAATTAATGAAAAAATAATTAATTAATGATTAATTGATTTTTTCGAATGATAATAATAATAATTATTTGAAAAAATTGATTCTCCCTACTTATTGATGAATTTAACAAATTAGTAAGAGCATCAGTCCAGTAATCTGAAGGTCGTGAGTTCAAATCCCCCCTAAGTATTTTCACTCTGAATTCTTCCTCAACCTTAAACAACAAATCGCTGCCTTTTCCAAACAATTATGTTATAAACATTGCTGTTCGTCACAGTTCTCAACATTGCGAAAAAGTCTCTACATCAACTGCTAATGAAATAACTCAACTGCAGGATGAATCGAAAATAAATATTCGCCAGAATCAGTGAATGAAAGCTACTAATTCTGCAATTAATGATAATAATAATTATTATAAATTAGTGATAATTAATGATAATAATAATAATAATTATTATTATTATCATTAATTGCAGAATTATAATAATAACTCATGCTTGATTATTATAATTATTATCATTAATTGCAGAATTAATTAATGAAAAAATAATTAATTAATGATTAATTGATTTTTTCGAATGATAATAATAATAATTATTTGAAAAAATTGATTCTCCCTACTTATTGGTGAATTTAACAAATTAGTAAGAGCATCAGTCCAGTAATCTGAAGGTCGTGAGTTCAAATTCCCCCTGAGTATTTTCACTCATAATTCTTCCTCAACCTTAAACACCAAATCGTCCCCTTTTTCAAACAATTATGTTATAAACATTGCTGTTCGTCACAGTTCTCAGCATTACGAAAAAGTCTCTACATCAACTGCTAATGAAATAACTCAACTGCAGGATGAATAGAAAAGAAAGCTTCATCAGAATCAGTGAATGAAAGCTATTGACTCTGCAATTGTTTCCAAATCTCGAATCCTCGACTGTTCAATGCGCACCCGCTCAATCGTAAACTCGACGCACACGAGATCCCCATCTCCTATTCCGAGTAGTTGAAAATGTCTTGTGCACTCACACTTGCACGGAAGAGAGAACTGCCAAGAGTTGAATTAGTGGGCCACGTGTTTCGTATGCCGAATGCAGCAAGCGATCCTCGGGTGGTGGATCAGAGAGGCGCCCCGCATGTGTGTCTAGGCCTACTTAACTAAATTTTGCATTGTCTACGACTCCCTCCCGCCTCCGCCCCTCTCTCGACGCCACTCTCAACCCGTTTTTTCCCTCACACGGTGTACAGAATCTCATCTCCATTCTCGGCGGGTTTTTTTTTCGTCCTCGCGACGAAAAATAACGGCGTACCATGGAATTTGGGACGGGTATGGCTTATGTAGAGAGCTGAAGAAGGGGCGACCGCGCCCTACTACCTCTCGAGCGAGCTTCTCCAATTGTCGATTCCAGTAAAAGCTGCGGTGCGATAAATGACGATCAAACACACGCGCACGGTCGGTCGTCGACTTGCTAATTGCTACTGCAGAATGGGTGTCCTCATGCTAACAGTTGTGCACGCACGATTAAATTTCATGGGGAACTCTAGCGAATTCGATGGGAAATTCTGTCGGGTTTTGGCTGATTTTATTGAGGAATTCCTGGCCCAATTTTACTCACCCAATTTTACTGTGCATTTTTGTACAGAAAGTTTCCAATAGAAACAACAGTAGAATTGCGTTTTTCTAGAGAACTTTTTTTATTGACACATTCTCTGCAGAAATTCCTCGACAAAGTTTCTAAATTTTTTCCACTTTATTGTTCATATCTCTTTTAAAAAATCTAAAAAATGGTTTTTGGATAATTTTCATTTTGTTGCGGATTCTGTTGAAGGATTCCGCACATTTACTGTGCATTTTTCTCATGAAAAGTGTTTAGTAGAAACTGTCCTTCAAAAAAAAATGAGTTGAATTTTCATCTGTCTGTACAACTTTTGTTATTGAGAGATTTTATACGGAAATTCCTGGCCATAAAGTTTCTATGTTTTTTCCACTTTATTTTTCATCTCTTTTCATAAAAAAACCAACAAAAAACTAAATAAATCATTTTTGGCTGATTCTATTGAAGAATTTCGCAGCTTTACTGCGCATTTTTCAAAAGAAAGTGTCCAATAAAAATTATTCTCTGGAAAAATCAGTAGAATTTCATGTTTCTAACAACTTCTGTTATTGAGATATTTTCTATAGAAATTCCGGGAGATTAATTACATGATCGCCAATTCTCGCTTTTTAATGACAAAAAATGGGAGAGAATAAACATTTTGAATTTTACTAATTTTGTTTTTAATTTTTGTTAATGTTAAAAAAACATTGTTTTGTTTGGTATTATGTGTAATGAATATTGGAATAAGAATTTTCTTTGAATTTCTTATTCTCCGCCTTTCATATCCCTGTAAGGAGATCGAAAATTTCACAGGATGAGTTAGAAAGTGAATGACGTTGAGTGATTGGATACTTTTGCTAGATTGCATTTAGTATTCAAGAGTATATTCAATAGTATAGACTGATTCATTTATTCCAAACGAGATTCCTTAACTATTAACGAATAGTAGTTCATTTGGTCATATTCAACTCTACTACTCGTTAATAGTTAGCGAATGGTTCACTTGAAAGGTGGAAATCGAGTCAAACACGCCTTCTGAAATGTGTATTTGTTAACTATGAACGAATGAGCGTTTGGTGAGAGCGAATAGACTCTCGTCTCCAACCAAATCCATTCGTTAACAACAACTAATCCTTTCTATCAGTGCACCGAAATGCGCCGGCAATAGACCGGAATTCCTGAGGGGATGTGCACATAATCATGAAGTACTCAGCGAATGGCTCATAAAGATCACTGACCTTGAGCATTCATTCAAATCCGGTCGACTCGAATGAGATGTTGATTAAAATCGAGATCGCTCATTTCCATGTTGACTTTTAATTTTATGCACACCGTGTTTCAGGATTTGGAGATTACCAGGTCATCGTGGACACCGGGGCGGAATGCGGTTGTACAGCCTGATCTTGGTCTATCTCCTTCTTGGAGGGGTGAGTATTCATCGCATGCAGGAGCTAGTCCATAATTTATGAGTTTTATCTATCTCGTTTCCTGACGAGAATCTATCAATCTTCTTCGTAATGAATAGGAATTATACGTGGAGTGACTTGGAATTAGTGACTCTAATGATTAGGATGAATTAATTAGAGCTTCGCTCTAGGTTTTTTTATCGTTTAAGTGAAAAATATGAAGTACATAATTTTCTTTGGTTTTGAAAATGACAAATTCGAATAGGAGAGTATTTACAATTTTCTTTTACTTATTTTGCAGTCGTTATTCTTCTAAAAAATATTCCTTTTTTAATTAAAAGATTTAATATAAAATTTTAATTGTTTAGATTTTTACGTTGGATTCACTTAGAAAATCGAAATACTTTTTTTATTTTGGGGAATAAACGAAAAATAAAAAAAATCTTTCGCATTTGCTATTTTTGAAAATGACAAATTCGAATAGGAGAGTATTTACAATTTTCTTTTATTTATTTTGCAGTCGTTATTCTTTTAAAAAATATTCCTTTTTTAATTAAAAGATTTAATACAAAATTTTAATTGTTTAGATTTTTACGTTGGATTCACTTAGGAAATCGAAATACTTTGTTTATTTTGGGGAATAAACGAAAAATAAAAAAAATCTTTCGCATTTGCTATTTTTGAAAATGAAAAAATACTCGATCTTCTTCGTAATGAATATAAATTATATCTGGAGTGACTTGGAATTAGCGATACTAATGGTTAGGATGAATTAATTAGAGCTTTGCTTTGCGTTTTTTTATTGTTAAAATGAAAAATATCGGATACTTTTTTTTTGGTTTAAAAAAATTACGAATTCGAATACGAGAATCTTTCCAATTTTCAATGACTTATTTTGTGTTCGGCATTCTCTGTAATAATATCTTATTTTTACATGAAAAGATTTCCTATAAAATTTTAATTGTTTAAATTTTTACATTGGGTTTACTTTGAAACCCAAACTTTCGAAAAATATAACCCAAAAAAAGTGAAGAATAATAAAAAAAACTCTTGTGTTCAGTGATTATTTTCGAAAATAAAAAAAAAGTATTCAATATTTTTCCTACTCAATTCCGTTTTTTAAATAAAAGAAAAATCATACCGAATTCCAATGCTTTGGATTTTTATATTGGATTAATTGAGAAGATGAAAGTTTCCAAAATACATAGTATTCACTGATCTCCGGATATCCTTCCACTAGACCAGCCCGTGCATAAACTTTTTGCCTGTCATGAATGGACCCCTCGTTTCAAAAAAACGCGAACGCGAATGATTCGAGGAGAAGCAGATACGGTCGCGAGACGTAATTACTGCATTATAACCCACATATCGCGACCGTGCGAGACAGACGGATGGGTAGGGAGGTACACCAGCCAATGCCGTTATACCCCGGTGCTAAGTTGACCCAGAGCTAAGGGCGACGCACGAATACAGAGAGACGAATACCACATGCCGGTTGCTTGTTTTTTCCCTCATTCCTTTTTATAGGTATAGCCCCTAGTAGGGCATGTATCTCGCGATCGTGCACCAGTCAATCCCGATTATATGGGTTTTTACGCGCGACATATTCATTCGAAAGGGTTTTATGACTCGGTGAAAATTGAAACCAGTGCTGCACTGTTAAAAATTTTAGTCTGAAATTTCAAGGAATTTCGTCACTGAAATTTATGAATTTCGTGGGAAAATCAAGGAGAACTGTCAATTTCAGTTCCATTTTTTCCTGATGATGAATAGAAAACCAGAAAATTCTGTTAAATATATTCTTGAATTTTCAGGACAGTGACACTGAATGCGATTTAGGGGAAAAAAACCATAAAATTTCAGGTTTCACTGAAAATTCAATGTAATTTGACACTGAATATTCATGTTAGATTGGGAATTCAAATAAATTAAGGAATTCTCATCTGTATGCTGCTTAGAATTCTGGAATTGACTGAACTTAACTGGTCATGAAATTTAATTTTTTTTAACAGTGTATGTTACAAAAAAATTGAAATTTCATGCAAAATCCAGGGGATCTCCAAGAGAATTCCTGAATTTACTTGAGATTTCCGTCAAAACATCGATATTAAGTACCAAATTAAGAATATGTTTACCTGAATTTTCCTGATTACCTACCGTTCGTACAGTAACATTTGCCACGATTTTCTAGATATTTTTTCTCCACCTTTTCTCTCCGTGTGCAGACAGACGAATGAACACAGGCTACACTGAAAGAAAAATATAATTCTTCTGACTATATTCCCTCACCATCGAATTATAGTCAAAAAGTCCTCAACAATTTTTCATGAGTTACGGTAACTATGGCCGGAGAATTACTACAATGGAATGTAGTCATTGCAACTATTTTATAGTTCTACTCACAATAGATTTGTCGTGGTTACTTTTGAACTTTGGTTAGTTTAACTGCATTTTGATTTGCAAAAATTACGCTTGTGAAGTTACTATAATGTTATGTGCCGCATACAAAAAAAATCGTATCGTTCACTAAAATGCCTCAACTATTTTCTTATTGTAAATCGAACTTCAGATTTTTCTCTCAGTGTATAAAACTTGCATTTACGGACTTTTGGGATTACCATGGGTTGATATAACACAAAAAAACAAAATTTAAATTCGAGCGATTACAAAGCTTCCGTGCGGAAGCAAAAAGACAAGTGAAACAAAAGGGAGAATGAAAATCGCTCTTCACGTGCGTTAGACAAGTTTTCTCTGTTTTCCTCGTTACTTCAGACCGTCTCGACGCGACTGTCGAAGCGCTCACATACACAAATCATTCATACAAGGCGATCGTATATGAGAGGATGAATGGACGGACGGAGAGTATCGATAGCGGAAGACTATGGATCGGATGAAGGGAGATTGCACTGTTCGTTCCATTTTTCTCATCAGTAGATAATTTTGGGTAACATTTTTCGATCGCTGAAATAGTGTGAACATTTTTTAAAGTAGCTCTACCCTTCCGGTAAATTCAAAGATTATTGAAAACTGCAAAAAATTGCAGAAAACTCGATGAGGTTCGGAATTCTATTTTTTTTCTCAATTTAATTGTCGTTTTGGTTTTTCAAAGAAGAAATGTTTAAAAATCAGGATTTAACCCAGTATCTTATGTGAAAATCAACATTTCCATTGTAATCAAAGATTAAAATCTGAATTTTTTTTCATTAGATGTGAAAAAATCAAGAATTTTTTTGACGCCTCATAAAAATAATCCACCGTTTTGCAAACAAGTTTGATTATTTATTTATAAGAGGGAAATGTTTGAAAAAATATCAATATTTTGTGAAATTTAATTTAGATAATACTGACTGGGTATGAATTTTTTCAAATTTTTTCCATGCAATTTAGTTGAAAAATTGAAAAACTGAACTTTTATCACATTACAGTTCTGCTGAAATGTCAAGCAATTTTCTCATTCAAAATTTAAAATTTTATTGCAAAATCAATTGAAATGAGGAAAATTCAGGTAAATGTATCTTGAAATATTCTATGGACGTAATTTGGTTCTGAATGTTCATGTTTAACTTGAAATTAGAATTCCCCAGAATTTTCGGCGGAACCTGAAATTTTATTATTTTTCTCCTCTATTTTCCAAACTTTTTCACAACTTTAGAAACCCATGATCGGTTTTTTTAAAGCTTCATTCCATTTTTCCCCTCGTCAGATAATTTTTAAATGTCCTTTTGTACCGGTGAAGAGCTTACGATTAGTTTGATGGCCGCAGATTGACCTAATTCGTCGCCAGCAGTCTCCTAATGATGAATTAATCAATTGAAATAAAAAGAAGAATTAGACGACTTTTTTACGGCATGAGAAACCCATTTCAGAGGGTTTATTAGCGTATACATGAATTGAATAGCCATCGTACGTTAGAGAAACATAATGAGCGAAGCTATAAAGCTGTCGTAATCACTGAGTATTATTTTCCCTTCTAATTCAATTTCCTTTGCGCTTCACCCTGAGAAATGACGCATTAGAATTATATCAATCTTTGTCAACTGATTTTCCCAATGATTCCATTGAAAATTAATAAGCTCTATTTCCAAATAAATCTTTTATTAAATCGCAATTAAATATTTTTTAATTCATTTTATTTATTTCGTCTAGACTACATCGAGGAAATCAACGACTGTTTAAAAAAAAGAGGAAAAAAGGGATAGAGTAAAAACATAAAAAGAGCGAATAGAAAAAAATAATAAAACAAATCAAAAAATAGAAAGGTAAATAAAGAAAGGTGTCATATTAGACAACTTAACAGGTTTTAAATTCAATGAGTGGTTTTAAGCAATAAAATATTATTACTAAAAAATATGATTATTAAAAATAATTTCATTTTCAACTGATAAAGACTTTTTTTTCATCAAGAAACATGTTTGTATTTTTAAAAAACAATGATTCAACGATATGAATAATAAAAAAACATTGAAAATAAAAACCAGTCAAAATAATGTTGATAAACCCATTTATTTGGTTCAAATAAACAGTTCTCTGAATCTGTAACAAAAAATGAACCGAAAGATGTCGACAAATACAACGCAGATTATTAAAAAAATCACTTGCGTTATTGAAGAAAACCCTTGAGTATTTTTCCACCGATAAAAACCGGCTTGATTAGTCCGATTATTATTGTCCAGGTGAGGATGACATATTTTTTGGTTGACCTCGAGAGAGTATTGGAAGTTGTCCGAATGACCTGCGGGCAAAGACATACGTGGCCCGTTATGCCCGAGGGTCACGTGTGACGCAATCGTTGAAGAGACTGCCTGTGCTCCTATTCCGGCGTGTTTGTAAGCTCCTCCCCCTTTTCTTCGTATTCTTTGATTTTTTTCTTCACGTCTCACGTGTATTCGTCTCACTTCCACTCGTCTCTTCATTCCTCTTCTCAGTAGTCTGTAGCAACAGGTTCAAATGATTTTGCTGACTGAAAAGTGATGGCATTACGAACTATAAATTTTCACCATTACAGCGGGTTGAGAAGATTGGAAGAAAGGGGATTCCCAGTTTTTCTCGGGGAACAACGACGCTCTGAGTAATTTTGATCTTGGGCGGATCGAAATTCAAGTGATTATTTTCATACATTTTTTCATTTTTTCCGGAAAACAGAAAAAGAAGGTGTTGAATTCCCGATAAATAAATTCACTTACATAGATCGATTAATTCAATAAAACTGATATTTATTTCGGGGATAATTGTTTTGGTGTTAAGCATTGTGACAACTCTGAAGACGATAGGTCGACCCCATCATCGTCCACATTGCCAACATAATAGAATACTCCATTCTAATGACATTCTCATTAATCAGGAGGATGGACATTGAATAATTGATACCAATTTTCGCGCAACATTTTGAACTGAATATTAAACAATTTCAGTGAACAATATGAAATATTCTTATTGGTTTCCTTTTTATTATCGACAAGAGAGAAAAAAATTAATAAGTGACACATTGTGGCCATTTTCTTTTTATTATAGATTTTCTATTTGAGATTTATTTGAGAAGAGGCTCGGATCGAACAAGTGCTCGATTTTATCCATTATCTCATTTTTTCCAAAACCGGAAAAAAGAAAACAATATTCTAGACAAATTCACATAAGAAACTAAAACTCCCGTGTATTGTAATTTCCTTAGAAACAAGAATTCTCTATTGACCTTAAACGTCGCATTTTTGACATATCCATAACTTCTCACAATTTTTTTATTCATCACTTTCCAGACGACGAAAGCAGAGGAGGTGGAGGTAATAGAAGCGATAACCGGCGATGACAGTCGGAACGAGAATTCCGCCCTGAGCCGTCCGGACAGTGACTCCAACACCTCCGACCAGTTGGCATTGGAGTCAATGGGGGACAAGGATAACGCCGCGAGTTCCTCGTCCGGCCAGTACAACAAAAACAGTGGCCTCCGTGGTCACCAGTTGGCACTGCCACCACCGCGGATAAATCTAGGTCCATCCCACCAGAGTGTCGCCTATCACGGCCCACCACCACCACTCCCTGGGAAAGCAACCGCGCAAACCGAGGCGATGGACAAAATCTTCACAACAGGCAGCGGATCGGGTGACCTCTGGCCAGCTAGTACGCCCGACATGCCCAAAATCATCTCCCTCGATGTCAAGTGCGAGAAGAACCTCATGAAAGTCTACCTTGAATTCGACAAACCCTTTTACGGAATTGTATTCAGCAAAGGTCACTTCAGCAACCTCAACTGCATGTACCTTCCGGCAGGGCTGGGCAGGACATCCGTCAACTTCGAGATCGGAATCCACACGTGCGGCACCTCCGGCAATACCGAGAACGGCCTCTACGGTTACGGCGCTGAATCAGGATCAGGGACTTACTTCGAGAACATCATAGTCATCCAGTACGACCCGCAGGTGCAGGAGGTCTGGGACCAAGCGAGAAAGCTTCGCTGCACGTGGCACGACTTGTACGAGAAGTCAGTGACATTCAGGCCTTTCCCGGTGGACATGCTGGACGTGGTGAGAGCGGACTTTGCTGGTGACAACGTCGGCTGCTGGATGCAGATACAAGTGGGCAAAGGGCCCTGGGCCTCCGAGGTCTCCGGCCTCGTGAAAATCGGCCAAACTATGACGATGGTGCTGGCCATCAAAGACGACGAGTCCAAATTCGACATGCTTGTCAGGAACTGCATGGCTCACGACGGAAAACGCGCGCCGATTCAACTCGTCGATCAGAAGGGATGCATCACCAGGCCAAAGCTGATGTCCAGGTTCACGAAGATCAAGAACTTCGGGGCTAGTGCATCTGTCCTGTCGTACGCTCACTTCCAAGCCTTCAAGTTTCCGGACTCCATGGAAGTTCATTTCCAGTGCACGATTCAGATATGCAGGTACCACTGTCCCGATCAGTGCTCGGAGACTGGGGGCATTGAGGGTCCAGGTTTTCTGGAGAATCATCATCCGGACGTGGGGTACGGGCTACCTCCGCCCCTTCCCCTGGACGCTTATCTACAGGCGATTGGACCTGGAGGACCTCGAGACGAGCGGCGGAGAAAGTCGAGGGATGTCGGGCAGAAAGGTTCTCTCAAGAACATCGGGGTTAACAGGGTCATCAGAGTCGTTTCCACCGGGGACTTGACGTTCGCTATTGACGAGGGTAAAGAGGAGTCCACGTCGGATACAACTCTTGTTTTCCCCGTTAGGGAAACAGCTCCTGGATCCACTATGATCTGCATGACGACCCCCGGATTCGCCTTCACTTTGATCATTCTTCTTGCTGTGCTGTTGATTTCTTGCGTGCTGTCTGCTTACCTCTGGATTCGCTTGAGGCCCTTCGCCAGGAACAAGGCTCTGTCCAATGCTTCTTTCACTGCCCAGCCGAAATTAAATCAGCCAAAAATGTGCTTTTACTCTTAGCTTTAAGGTTTTTTCAGACGAATGTTATTGTTTTGTTACCGAGCACTGTGGAGATGTTCTACGTGTCAGATATTCTTGTTGGCGGGTCTTGGGTTGAACGTTTCATGTCATAGTTTTACATTTCGGAGGCTTCGGTTCCGTTTTCCTCTTATGAATTTGCTTTTGTGACGAGGGTTTGGGTTGTCATTATTGCGCTTCTGGTAGACGTTGACGATGAAAAAATGAAATGTTGAATGAAAATGAAATGAATTGTTGACGTGGAATGTTCATGTTTAAAGTAGTTATGCATACGCTGTAGAAACTAGTGTCTTCAGGACGTGTTAATTTAAGACATTCGACGCAAGAATGGGTCGTATAGAATAACTTCGGGGTGATTGGAATTCCGAATAACCTAAAGTAAGACGTTTTATGTCATGAGGCCAGATAAACTGCGATTATACCTCGCTTCGACGATTAGATCGCGGTTTTCGGGCCCAATGACATAAAATATTGCATGTCACACGGCGATAAAAGTATTCTGATGAAGGTGATTATAATCCGAAGACGAGGATTGTAAGGTCACATAGGTCAGATAATACTTTGATCGTCTGATGACAAAATGTGCTATTTTCAAACAAGACGTTTTCATAATGTGTTGTGAATATGAGTCACCAAATTTACAACATTTTTTGTGTCTCAAGTCAGGACACTTGAAGACTATTCAGTCACTAGTCATTTATGACGATGGCACTACGACAAGACATTAATCCCATTAAGACTTGGAATCATAAGACGTTTTTGGAGACTTATCCATATTCTTCATATTTATTGGAGTTTTGCACGCACGAAAAATTGAATAGAAAAACCAAGCGAATTCGTTGAAAAATTCTAGTGGATTTCTATTGAACTTTCGATTAGTTTTTAGCTGCTTCTGTTGAAATGTTCAATAGAAAATATTCGAACGGAAAAGTCAATAGAATTCGATTTATCCATGTAACTTATTCTCTTCAGATATTTTCTACAGATGTTCCTTCCAACTTTTTTCATTCTATTTTTCTTTTCTTCTTATCAAGGAAATCAACCAAAAAACTGAAAAAATTTGAGCCGAGGAAACTCTATCGGAGAGTTGTGTAGAAAAATCGAATTCTTTAATTTTTTGTATAGAATATTTTCTATTAAACATTGCAATAGAATCGGCCAAAACCTAATAGAAAATTCAATAGAAATCGAGGTCGGAGAAGAGGTCGAGGGGGTAAAGATGGTGGGAGATGTCAAATGAATTCAGACATAGAATCGTTTGCGAGATCACAAAAAAGCTTGTAAAAACCTTAAATATTACTTTGAGAACAGTTACGTTTCACCAGTATTTTTGATCCGGAAAATTCTTCCTTACCGTAACTAAAGCTATCAGTGAAAAAATGACGGGCTCTTTTCATGCACCATGGTCGACCATTGAGAAAAGCCGCATAAAGTAGAATAGAATAAAGTAAACTAGAATTTGAAAAAACAGATAAGACCTCATAAGTTCGAAACAAAAAATCCTCGCACAAGACATCTAAAATACGTAGAATGCATGTCTTAATGTCCTCCTTCAAGACACTAAAAATGGCTTAAATTTGAAACCCAACACGTCTGAAAAAATCGTATAGAAATTTTCTACACGGATTGCGTACAGAATTTCTATACGATTTCCGTATATGATATTCGGATATTTCCAAATTATTTCTATACGATTTCTATAGGTTTGATCATCTTCGAGCCACTGCCACATGTATAGAAACATTTTGTATGAAGTTGCGACATTTCTCTACGTTTTCTCTGGAGCGTTTAGGCATCTTTCGTATGAAAACAAAAATTTATGTAAAAATTTATGTATAAAAATAATTCGTATAGAAATATCCGAATATCATGTACGGAAATCTATAGAATTTCTATACGATTTTTTCATACGTGAAGTCTCAAAAATCGGGACAAAAGTGTCTTAATTTAAGACACTAGTTTTTCTGGTGACATCAACAGAAAATGCCACAATGACACGTGCAACATTTCCGTAGGAGTAATGATTTTATGTCGATGGGAAGATTAGTTCTACCTCTTTTCGGTGGGAAACCCTTGTGAATATCGTGACATACGTGTTACACACCAGAGGCTAACCGACGTACAGCGCCATGAGCACCATTCCGTGTAACAACATGTAAGTGGATGTACGTTTCTGCATTATCAATGACGTATTGTACAATTGATATTCTCCTGTTGACTACGTGTATACATGTGCACATAGGGGCATTGTGAAAATAACTGTCGTTTGATGGGGTCAGTGAGCCAATTGAGCTGCTGGGGTACAGTAAATAAATAATTCCTTCGATTAACAGTCACAGCTGAGGTGTGAATAATCTTGGTGATGGATGGGAGAAATTTAAAGTGGGTTTAGGACGGTTGTTCAGCGATATGTTGTGATTTTATGACTTCTTTTCGGCTGACGAAAGGAGAAGAAACTTCCAAGCGACTAGGATTTTTATGAATCGCATGGGAAATCGTATGACCCCTCACGCTTTTTTCAATGTATATTAATCAATTCGAACAAGTTTTGCTCGTTTTTCAAGCAAAATTTCTTACGGAGAAGATGTAAGCAAACATCCATTTTGGAAATCTATGAAAGTTTAGGGATAGAAAGGATATTACTTAATATTTTTCACAGTTAACATCTGTGATTACGAGACAAATAAATTGTCGAATTTTATAAAATAAATTATTATGGGAGAATAGAGCTCCTGTGGGTTTTGTAGGCACAGAGAGGAATATAAGACTTTTTCTTATAACAGGCAGGAAAAATTTTGATAGGAAACCTAGCGAATTCGCCAGACAATTCTATTGGTTTTCTGTTGAACTTTCTATTAGTTTTTGGCCGATTCTGTAGAAAAAGTCAATAGAATTCGATTTTTCTATGCAACTTATTCTATTGAGATATTTTCAATAGAATTTCTTAGGCTCAAATCTTTCAAGTTTTTTTCATTCTGTTTTTTTTCTTTTTATTAAGAAAATAAAAAAAAATAGAAAATTTGCGTCTAAGAAATTCTACAGAAAATGTCTCAATAGAATAAGTTGTGTAGACAAATCGAATTCTATTGAGTTTTTGGATAGAATATTTTCTATTGAACATTTCAATAGAATTGGCCAAAAACTAACAGAAAGTTCAATATAAATCCAATGGAATTATCTACCGAATTTTCTGGGTTTTTCTATTACATTTTTTCGTGTGTGAATGATTTGCTGGAAACTTTTAATGTAGCTTTTCAATTCAGAAGTGTCTTGTTTTATAGTTTCAATTAGCTAAATTATTACTTACAGGATTTGTAGAAGACGTAATTTGCCCATTGAAGATTGGAAGTCGATTTGCCTCGGTTCCTCTGGAATTATTCCGAGATAGTCAATGTAAAATAATATTGTGGATATAAAAAAACTATTCCTAGCATGGACAATATGTGCATGACATTGTTTTCGTTATCTGTTCAGGAATTAGAACATGAGCAAATCATTTATTGTGATATGAACATTTAACAGCTGATGAATTGGGACGGTATCATAATTTTTCACAGGAGTTTCAGGTAAAAATGACTGAACGCTCTGGAAGAATTCCGTGATTTTAGGTGAAAATTACGTGACAGTTCCGTAAAATTTCCCACAACCACATTTCGCTCCGGAATTACGGCAAAGATTCGTAATTTTTATTGAATATTTCTCTCCGTGGAGGCGACGCTGGAGATCAATGTAGATCAATGATCATTTTCAAAAAATATTGAAAACTTCGAACAGGAAATTCGTTCGAAAATTTCGCGGAAATGGTGGCCCTCTGTGACCCCTTAGCGGATGTAGCCTCAGATAAATCCTCACCTCAGTCGGTTTCCAAAGAGTATCGATGATAAACCCCGCACCGTGCCACTTTTCGCCGTGCACTTTTGAAATTATCCCGCTTCTCAGGCGGGGTTTTCAAGCCATAATGAAACCATGCACTTGAAAAGATCGACCGCCAATAAAGAATCCGATCAATAAACCACACGTACACGTTTATGTTACCATGTAATTCCGGCGAAACTCTTTTAGACGCACGAAAAATTGTGTACAACGGGCGCGTGCGTGCATATTACACACCACATTGATGAGTAAAAATGCATATACATTTATACATAACACAAGTACTCCTAATTTGCGTTATTAGCATACAAATTGTGGGATGAGCAGATAAATCGCTCGAAGGCTGACGGTGAGGAACCGTTATTCGGACATAAAAAAAAGGGGAAAAGGTCTTCTCTGGGAACGGAGGCAACTCATTTGAATCATTCTTCAATGGGCACATTTTTCTGATGAAATCTGTGGGGAATTCGTCAACAGTAATTGTGGGATGATTGACATTACACTGTTAATTTTTAAGATTCGCTCAATTGTAGAGGTATCCGTAATCTGCATTTCGATTAAGTAAGCAGCTGTTTTATGTATTGTTGATTATGTAGCCACTGGAATAAAAGAAATTATTCTCTATTGGAGAATGGCACGCAAATGCACTTACATTGATGCAGGTCTGACTCACTCCGGCTGGATCTACTGATCTGTGACGCTATCTGTGTCGTGAGGGACAAGCCGTATTCGGACGTGTGATGGGTACAATGAGTCAAGTAATTTCTTATATTTCTGATGAAAATGAGGGGGGGGGGGGGG